AGATTTTTTTTTCCCCTAACTGCAAACCACATATACCTATGTGGAATGCAAGAGAAATGTTTTCCTTTTGATATTAAAAAGTTCTCCCACAAATTAAGTAAACATTGGCTGAACCACAGTGTTGGTTTATTATTTAGGAATGCAGCCTCACACAAAGCCAGGGGCTTTTCATAGTGTCAAAAGAAACCTCAGGCATTGGAGTCATCCCCAGGAAACATATGAAAATGATGTGTACACGTGTCAAGATGCCAACTGCAACTGTGTGAATATATTGCTGTGGTTTGAGCTGGTAGGAGGGTGAGGGCTGTATGGAACAGTAGGAACTACTTTTTAAAAGTCTCTTGTGAGATTGATTTAAATGCACATAGAAAAAATGCTCAGGCAGCAATTAAGACTGAGAATCTACAACCCTGTAAAACAAAATTAATAGCTATAGCTGCTAAAATCCTAAATGATGGAAACTCTGATAATTTGCAGTTAATTCTTTCTCCATTGCATATCCCTTCACTGTTTCCGCCTACAGGTTATAGAGACCCTTACCAGCTGTCCAGAGCTGATCCTAAATGTGACCAGTAAGAAGAAGGGTGAGCCTTGCCTATACAGCAGGACACGAGTGGCTCTCAACCTTTCCAGACTACTGTACCCCTTTCAGGAGTCACATTTGTCTTGCGTACCCCCAAGTTTCACCTCACTTAAAAACTACTTGCTTACAAAAGTCAGACATAAAAATACAAAAAAGTGTCACAGCACATGATTACTGAAAAATTGGTTACTTTCTCATTTTGGCTGTATGACATTTTAGTTTGTACTGACTTCGCTAGTGTTTTTTATGTAGCCTGTTGTAAAACTAGGCAAATATATCGATGAGTTGATTTACCCCCTGGAAGACCTCTGTGTACTCCCAGGGGTACACATACCCCTGGTTGAGAGCCATTGTTCTAAGTCCCAATCCACTGTATAACAGGGTAACTGGCCCCTTAAATGAAATTGGGCCCAGTGCTCCTGTTCCAGTCCAGGTATGCCCTAGTTTGATGTAAGGAAGGAAGGCAGGTGAGGCTGGCTCTGGGAGTTATAAATGTAAGTTCAGAAGCCTAAGAAGAGGAGTCCAGAATCTGGACAAGGAGCTCTGAATCAGAGCAGATGTTTCAGGGAGGGGATGGCCCTCAAGGGGACAGCAGTGATAATTCCCTAGTGAGCAATGGAGCTAGAGTAGGCATCTGAAGGCAGGAAGGTAGTTTGGGTGGAGAAGTCACCTACAAACATCTCCAGATCAGAGAACCATGGCTGGAGAGAACCAAAGACTGAAAGCAGCAGGGGGAGCTGCCTACTGGCTTTCTGATCCAAAGAGCTGAAGCATGAGGGGCAAAGAAGTCTGAAGCCTGGGGAAAGATGGAGGGGTTGAGCCCACTGATGTCTCTACGCAAGAGCTGGGACCATACCTGGGAAGGAAACGGGGCAGAAAAGACTTCTGGCTAGGGCGAAGTGTGACGAGAGATGGCAGAGCCATATGTGAGAGCTGAGGCGTGGTGAGAGATGTCAGAGCTGTACTTGGTGTTGGGATGAATCTACTGTTTGACTGACTGCTGGTCCCCCAGAGTTCACTGTCCAACTTAGACTGGTGTATGTCATGGTCTAGGGCTATCTCTGCCCCTACCATTTTCTTGCTTTTCTCTATAGCCATCACCTCATGGGAGTGAAGGAGGTGCCATATGTAACCATGTGTTAGGCACTCCTAGAACCAACTCTCAAGAAACTTACATCTTCTCTATTAAGCATAGCTTTTTCACCTCTACAATTGCTCATTGTTTGCTAATATAACCCACACCCACTCTTTCATCCCAAGGGGGTTCTCTGTTGTCCTAGGACAGCACCAGAGCAGACTCATGATGAAGTCTTATAGTGCCCTGTACAGCTAACTGCTTGTGGTGCGCTTCCTTCTGCCAATCAAGATCTAGAAAGTGAGCTGAGAAACAGGAGATACACTGGTCATGTCTCCATGTCCAAGGTTACCTCACCTGACTGGCCTAAGGTGGGAAGCTTGCAGTTGTATACAGACTGAGGTACAAGGACATTACTATGTAAGGCCTACAAGCTGGTTCCCTTCTAGGGTGCAAGGGTCAGAAGTAGAACTGCTCAGAAACTGGGGGGGGGGAGGTTTCCCATAGAAAATTTAAATTTTTTTGACAAAGATTCAAATACTGAAATATGTTAACCCAAACCCAAAATATTCCAACTTGGAAATGCTGCCTGGTACTTCAAAGTAGTGGTAGTTTGGGAATCTCATGCTTCCCTCCTCTGTAGGCCAGGCTCCCTGATTGGACTACATCTCCTATGGTTCACCATGGTGTCTCCTCTTGGAGGGGAGGTGGTGCTTCTTATCAGTCCCGGGCCATGGTTCATCATAGGAGACATAGCCTGGTTGGGGAGCCCAGCCCATGGAGGAGAATGCGGAGATGAGGTAAATGAACTACAACTCCCAGGAGGCACTTTAGGAGCATATCCAAATTGAAATATATTGGGAGTGTTAATAAAAAATTGAAAATACAGTAGAACCTCAGAGTTACGAACACCTTGGCAAAGGAGGCTGTTGGTAGCTCTGAAATGTTCGTAACTCTGAACAAAATGTTATGGTTGCTCTTTCAAAAGTTTACAACTGAACATTGACTTTATACAGCTTTGAAACTTTACTATGCAGAAGAAAAATGCTGCTTTCCCTTTATTCTTTTAGTAGTTTACTTTTAACAGAACTGTACTTGCTTTTTTGGATTTGTTTCTGCTCCTGCCTCATTGTGTACTTCTGGTTCCAAATGAGGTGTGTGGTTGACTGGTCAGTTTGTAACTTTGGTGTTCGTACCTCTGAGCTTTTACTGTATCCACAAAAAGCAGATTTTTAAAAAATATTGTTTAATTGAAAAACCCATTTTCCATTAAAAAAAAGTTTTGACAGAGAAATGTTGACCAGTCCTAGTCAGAAGTATAACCCTTTCTTAGGCGGATGCAGTCCCTGGTACCTGTTTTCAGTTTGGGTAGCAATAGTGAGGTAAAGATGAATCTCTGGATTGTATCTGGAGAGCATAATTTGACTTTGGAGTGTGAACAAGGTAGATATGATAGTGTTTCCAGGGAAATGTAGGAAGGAGGGTCAAGTTGACTGGACTCTCAGGTGCATAATGGTATGATGAAAGAAAAGGAAGATTTGTCTGTGGGCTAGATGTGAAGTGTGAGATGCAAGATGTTATTGTCTCTGGTTTATGGTAGGAAAGTGGAATGGAAAGGGGCTGAGACTCTGACCCACTTGTGGTTCAGTCAGTAAGTTAAAGTGCACATGGGGATTGTGGTGGTCTATGGTTCATGTGGGAAATTTAAATAGGGTCAGAAAAGAGAGACAGGCTTGGGCAATGGTTTGCTATCTAGTGGGATTCCACAGGAGTCTGTCCCGGGTCTGGAACTAGTCAATATTTGTTATATGACTTTGATAATAGAGTAGAAAGTATGCTTAGAAAAACTGTAGCTCATGCCAAGCTGGCAGGGGTTGCTAGCACTTTGGAGAACAGAATTACCATCAAAAGGACCTTGTCAAATTGAAGAATTGTCTAAAATCAACAAGATGAAATTTAATAAAGACTAGTGCAAAGTACTACACTTAGGAAGGAAAAATCAATGCACAATTACAAAATGGGGAATAGTGGCTAAGGCAGTGCTGTAAAAATGATCTGAGGATTATAGCGGATCACAAATTGACTATAAATCAATGTGATGCAATTGTGAAAGGCTAGTGTTCTGGATTGTATTAACAGGAGTGTTTTATGTAAGACATGGGAAGTATTATCTCACTCTACTCAGCACTGGTGAAGCCTCAGCTGAAGTACTGTGTCCAGTCGCAGGCACCGCAGTTTAAGAAAGATGTGGCCAAATTGGAGACAGTCCAGAGGAAAGCTACAACAATGATAAAAAAAAAGTTTAGAAAACCTCACCTATAAGGAAAGGTTAAAACTGGGCATGTTTAGTACTGAGAAAAGAAGACTGAGGGGGGACTTGGTAACAGTCTTCAAATGTTGTAAGGGCTCTTATAAAGAGGAAGGTGATCAGTGGAGAAAATGGAGAATAACTGAAGATAAGATAAAAGTAATGGGCTTAGTCTGCAGCAAGAGAGATTTAAGTTAGATATTTGGAAAAGCTTTCTAACTATATGGTCAGCTATTCTATTCTAACTAGAATAGGTTTCCAGGGGAAGTTGTGGAATCTGCATCATTGGAGGTTTTTAAGAACAGGTTGAACAGCTGTCAGAGATAGTCTAGGTATACTTACTCCTGCCTCAGTGCAGAGGGCTGGCCTAGACATCTCCAAGTCCCTTCCAGCCCTACATTTGTGATTCTATTTAAAAAAAGCCTTCACCACAGAACTGACCAAAATTCAGAATTTCTGTTCTGCAGGAAATTCCCACATTTCAAAGTTTTTTTCCTCCAAACCAGAACAAAATGTCAAAATTTAGATTCCCCCTACCCCCAACAATGTTTCGGGTTAGTTGAAACGCTTCAAAATTTATGTTACATCAAAATGAAATCAAAATTCAATTATAGTCAATGAAAAATCAAAACATGTTCCATTCGAATAAAGTGCAGACATTCTGATCTTATCCAAATGCTTTAGTTCAATGGAGTTCTTCAAAATGAAATTTCATTGAAAAAAAAAATCACACATTCCTGTGAAACATTTCAATTAATTGGCAATTTCTGATGGGAAAAAAATGTTCCACTGAAAAATTGTTGGCCAGGTCTACTTGTGGAGCTCAACAAGAGAATCTGGAGAAAATAAAATGGTCTTCACTGAAGAGCACTCATAGAAATCTAGGGTGCAGCAAGTTGCTGTAGCTATTTTATGCAGCCTGCTGTTCCTTGGAATGTCTTTAATCGGGGTCGGCATGAAGGCAAGTTGCCACCTTTTTCACATCTAACTATTCTGTGCAGCGTGTTTGTTTTTCTTCGCTGCCAAGGAGACAATGTGCTTTTCATTTCCTCTGAAGAAGAACAGGATACTATGTGTAAAATATCAGATAACGTTAAAGAAAATGGTTGAGTGTATCCTGAAACAGGAGTGCATCACTGAACTGAAGAATGGAACCCTCCCAGATATGAAAAATAACCATACTCCTGAGGAGAGAGAAGTCTGTGGTGAGTTATCCTTCCCTCATACTGATGGGATGTTTTCTAAGGCTCTTGCAAAACAATTATGCGTCCTCTCATGGCATCTGAAAGGGAAGAAATTTGCCAATCCTACTATTTTTCCACTTAGATGGGTAAATCATACCTGAGGATGGAATACCGAGTTCTTGCTTTTGGTGAGGATGTGTGTGATCCAAATCCCTTTCCTGGATACAGTCAGCAGTGTGTCACAAGCCTTATACTGCTAAAAGGTCAAGGAGATTGCCCTATAGGCCAAGTGGAAGGGGTATGTGCTTTTGGTGCAAGTGGAATACAGTTTGCACCCTCTACATTAACAGGGTGAATCAGGCCTGTACTCTAGCTATAGATACACATGCATATGTGTACACAGACACACGCAAGAGAGATGGACAGCATTTCATACAAGCACAAATATATACAGTTCAGAAACCCAAAATGTTAAATATTTGTGGGCTTTGTCCCCCTCACTTCCACACACACACACTTTATCCTTTTTAATGTAGTTCATCAATGTCTCAGCTGCAGCCAAACTTCCTCTTGTGGGGTGTACCTGAATGGCTCATTAACAAGAAATGCTGGCAAAAATCAGACGGGTCTGTGACTTTAGCAGCTGGACTAAAAGGAAACAAACTACAAGTCTCCAGTTAGGAGTCATTTGGGGCTAGTTGTCCCAAAGCAGCAGCTATGCCAGCCAGGAGGCACATCTCAGCACACAAGGGTCTAGCAAGTCAGAACTCCAAGTGAATTCCTTTCTGTATCAGGTGAGTTCACATACACCACAATGTGTTTCAGACTTAAGGACCCCATAGTTGCTGCATGCATTAAGAGCATATGAAGCACTGTATGAATATGCTTAGGGTTGTGTGCATGTTTTTAGCTGTAGCTAGAGAGGGAGACGTAGCTTAGCAATGTTAGTTTATTGAATGTAATTATTGTCATAGCTGGCAATGCTTGGAGGAAGTGTACAATGGTTCTGCAGTTTGGCTTTAACCATTATAGTCAGGGTGGTGACTAAAGAACTGGCAGCTGGTAACAGAAGTGGAACAAAACCAAAATATCTATCCTTTACTCATTCATCTTGGAATGCCTGTATTTATTTATGGCTCCTTAGTTTTATATTCTTTAAGCCAGGGATTAAATCATCTTCAGAGAGGGTAGCAAAAGTATTCATTTACCAACCACCTTGTTTCAGATCACTCCCACACAGACTGGTGATCAGCAAAACCAGAATGATTTAGCTCAAGATGGGCTATTTATAATGGGACAAACACCCACTCCACTATTCAGATCTGGTGGTGGTATTTGAAATCTGGGTCGACATCTGAAGTTGGCAGCTTGAGTCCATCTCTGCATTAACCCAAACTCTTCTCCTCTCATCAACTCTGGATATTTTGACAAAATAGGACCTGGATTCTGATCCATCCTGGGTTTTGGCTACCAAAATCAAGACCAATAAGATGTTACAAAAGCCAAACTACCCCTAATTTGCCCATATCTTCTGAAACTGGAGCTGTGTGAATCCCCCCATGCTCAGTTCAGAATGGGAGCAAATATATTTTTGTCAGAGCAGGTTCACTGGCCCTGAAGTTGGAAACTGTCCCAGGCTCATTTGAACCTGGTTTTCCCTTAGTCAGCGCTCATGTTAGCTCAGAGCCAACATAATTCCACTAGTAATTTGCACATATGTGTATCCATGGTGTGAATCAAGCCCATAGATTAAAGCATACACACACACACACACACACACAGAGTTCACAATGTAGGAAGGAAACTACAGCATTTCATATAAGAGATGAAGATACTAATTTCAGAAACCTCAAACTTCATTAAAGAAGCATCATGGATTCACCAGTTTGCTAAGGCCAAAATTAGGGCTAGTGGCCAGAACTGACAGATACCATATGACTTTACCACTAGGGTTCTTCCTACCAGATGTGGTTCACATTCTAAATGCAGCAGCCTCAAATAATTCATGGGAATCCAGAAAGAGCAAAGAAGCCCTCAAAACCCTTCAACAGTCAGTGTATGGCCACAAATAAAACTGAGGGCTCACCATATTGCGTGAAGATGGATTTCAAAATCTTGCTGTGGCTAAAGTTTAACATTTCTCACAGCTCTACTCAAAAGAGATAAATGGACTATAACCACACAGTCCAGCTCCAGCTCCAAAAACTTCCTCAGAATCTGGGGGAGTTCATATCTGGAGTTCTCTTTGGTCCCACTATAGAGATAGCTAGTAGTAGTGAAATTTGCACCTGGATCTGAATTTTCCCAGGCTAAATCCAGGGTTAAGATTCTGTCTATTATATAGATCAAGGGGCACTTGGAACATTTAAGACACAGATGTGAATCTTTCCCAAATTAAAGATTGATCACATGCTCAGTTTTGGTTTCACCCAATCTGTACTAAGCCCCACTTATTCTGCAGAGCCTTGGTGTGCTAAAATCCATAGGAAATATTACTGGCTGCTACTAATGTTGTTTGCCCTGTATCTGTGTCTTCAGGACATCAGCCTTTCAGGGCAGGGACATGGTTTTATATTTTTAATCTGTAAATAATGCTAATGACCATTTTAACACATACTGATAAAAAAGTTTTAAAAAACCAACCCAAACAATTGAACTAACAGCAAAGACCAAACTGAAATAGCCCATCTAAATCCCTTGTAGTTGCTTTCCTCACCCTCCATCCCTCCTCCTTTCCGATTTGAAACTCTTAAATAGAGAGTGAATGGGGAGATGACATACTGCCGACAGTTGTCTTTGTGTGTTTTTGCTAGAGCTGGAAGATGGTTTATCAAAAAGGGTTTTGAAAGATGACACTTTCTTTTAGAGCTGAAGGAATGGCCTGCAAGGTTCCCTCCCTCCCACACACACACCATACAGAAGAGCAGTGAGGTGTTTATTGATGATCTATTTCATTGATGATCTATTTCATACATTCTTTAGCATCTGACGCTCTGGCTTCATGGCTTGATAACTGATTGATAAGTTCTCTTTTGTGGGATAAGAATGACTGACCTTTTCCTCCTGGATTCCCAGCATCTCCTTTCTTGGACTAGTGCCATGGGAAAGACACAGTGTGCAAAGAGAGCTCAAAGCCTGATGCAGGCATTTAAAAAAAATTGAAGAAAGCTTTGCATTATTGTGTGCATACTAAGTATATGTGAGGCATTTTATCACATTGGGAATCTCTCTCATCTCTGCCCTGGCCCTGTACATCAGGATGAGTCTTGCTTTAAATAGATTTCCCCAAACATGTGTGGTCTCTAGGAACTTTTTCAAAAGAATTATCCACTATGGTCAATTTCCAAGCAAAATCCATCACATTCACAGCATAGATTTCCACCTTCACAAGTCATTAGTTAAGCTGAAAGAACAAATTACAGCAACTATTGTGGGTTTCCCCACAGCTCATAAGCTTACTATCCTGTCACCATATCAGAGGTCAGTGAGACTACTATGCCTGAAATTGTTGCTGGGAGACTGATAGAAAGGAACAGCCAGCTACTTAGGTTGTGGAAAAGCCATTTACACACACACACCCCTCCCCAATTAAACTTCTTGGATTCCAAATGACTTGGTGAGATGCTCTTCATTCACAGTTTACTGCAAAGATATAACTTGTCAGTTGAACCTTGTAAGAAATATAGCAGCCTAACCAGACGGATTAGTTGGTTAGAACCAACATCATACTTCATCCAAAACTGAACGTAAACCAAACAAACCCAAACCCTTTTTTGAGGTTCAAGAAAGGTCAGTTGACTTCTCTTTTCTTTTCAGCTGAGACTAGAAGTAGAGAAGCTAAACCACCATGAGAAAGAAATGCTGCTAGAGTAAACTGGCTGAAATACTAGAGTCGAGTGAATAACTGATTTTTTTCGGTTCAGAGGCAGTTGTGAAAAATCAAATATAAATATGGTTTGGGTCAAACCAAATATGAAATTCTTTGACTAAAAATTCCAAACAAAAAAGTCCATTTCTGGTATGCTCCAGAGCAGGTATTTGAACCTGGGAAAGAGTGCCCTAACCACTGGTGATAAAAACAGTGGTGGAAAAAACAATAATACCACTTCTTCCTCCTTCCTCAGGACACTTTGTGACTAGCCACAACTGTTAGCTCAAATTTACAAACAATTTTGGGGTCAGCCAAAACCGCACTTCTCATCAAATAAACTATTTGTTAAAAAAAAAATTCACTCAGTTCTAAATATTACTATCTATACCAGAAATCACAGAAGAAAGCTTGATCTTGCAAGTTTCAGTCCAAAGTAGTATCTGATGCTTTTATTTTAGATGCTTATCCAAAGCTAATCTTTTGAGGCTGGACCAGCAATAGTAACAAGCTGGTCTTCGATAGTGATCAGTCATTAAACATTCTACCACAACAACTTTCCCTTCCGTATTGCCTTAAATCTGAGGACATCAAAAGCACTTTACAAAGCTATAGAATTAAGAGTTGAGATAGGTGTGCAGATGTTAAATCCATGTTTGGGTATTTTTGCCACTGAGGGTCTATGCATAAGTTTCCTCTGTTCTATTAAGATATACTTTATTAGTTACCATATGTACATGCATTAAATACAGGAAACTAGAGCCTTAGTTCTGCCCAGCTTACACACTGGACAGTTAAAGAGAGTGAGGAATTTAATGAGAATTGAGCCTGCTCTTCATCTTGCTGGATCTGCCTTTGTCAGAGAATATTCTGCCAAGAATTCATTCAGCACAAATCACACTTTTTGAAAAAGCTGGAGGGAGCAGGCAGCCCTATTTGCACACACATTATTAACCATAAACCAGTATAATGCTGCATATATTAGATACTGTCTCTGCGGAATTGCCAGCAGCCATCATATTTCTCTTTTAGTGTCCAAGTTTAAAGAGGAGCTTTTCAGGAAAGTCTACACCAAAAAATGTCAGAATGGGAGTTCTAAATCTAGAAGTACTAATCCATACTATGGTAGTGTCTGAGGTTAACTATGCACAGA